AGGGGGGACTAACGTGTGGCAGTGAGACATCAACACCATGGGGACTCACAGACAGAAGCAGCTTTGTTCAATGTAAACATCGATCAGGGGACAGCAGTCTCTCTCTCGCGGGCGCGCTCTCGCTCTCTCTCTCGCTCTCTCGCTTGCCATAGACTGAATAATTTCTTTGAAAACGTAAACATATTGGAAGTGCCTTGACTGAGGTATTGAGGTATTCCTCCAAGGTTAAGGCTGTTACCGATGCAGGCTGAGCTGGGCCTCCTGCAGCAAGCTGTCGAAATCCATGGTCTCGTACTTGCTTTTCACCGGAGCCGGGGAGGACTCGTCCGTGCCGCAATCTGGGGATGGCAGGGACAGAAGGCAGCCGGGTCAGGGAGGGGGGGATCAGCGTCCTCTCTGCCTCATGGGGGGGGAAACTGAGGCACAGCAGGGCACTGCTCTCTGCCCTGCTACTGCACAGCCAGGCTGGACACAGCGGTGGTGGTGACGGGACTGGGGACAGCGAAAAGAGCTGGGGCAGAGGGGCTGCAGCCAAGCCCAGCTGGGCAGGGCACACACCACTGACATTCACTGCCAGGGCTGAAAAAATCAGCTGGGTGCAGCTAAATTTGGAGGGGATGACACAGGGCCGTCCCATGGGAGCTGTGCTGGTGGCAGAGCCAGCCTGCTCCACCGCCAGCCCTGTGCCAGGAGCTGAACACAGAGTGCCCCTGGAAAGCCCAGGGAATTCAGCACCTAGCTGAATTAGCTTAGCTAGAACTAAGGTTGTCTAATTTCACAGCAGCTTAACATTTTGGGTGTATAGTTTTGAATGGTGTGGTTGCATTTCACCTCTGCCTGGGGCCTCCCCTTCTTATCCTGTACCAGGATGAGCAGGAATTTAGGAATGAGCTGGGCTGTGCAGGAAGGGGGTGACTGGTGGCTCTGAAGAAATCAGGTGAGGAGAACTGAGGGGGCTTGTCTTAGGCAAGAGGGCAGCTCTGGCCCCCTCCCCGCAGCACTGCACAGTCACCAGCTTCCTCATGGGCTGCTACCTGGCTCCTAATTTCTCTGTGCCCAAAATGGGAGGCTCTGGGATTTATTTAGATGAACAATGGACCTTTTGCCCACAGTCAAAGTCAAGGCATGGCTGCTCTAAGCAGAGAACATAGTGCAAGGTGATAAAAAAACCAGGGAGTGCTTGTAGGTAAGTACTTGGAGGTAAGCCAGGACCTGGGGATTTATTTTCTTGAAGTCTTTCAACCATCAAGTGGGACCCAGAACCCTTCAGCCCCTGCAGTGGGTGCAGAAATAAACATGCAGTGTTGGTGAAACACCTGAAGCAAGGAGGGCTGGACAAAGCCTAGGACACATTTCTCTTGCAGGACCAGCCCAGGGTTTGGCTCCTGGCCCTCAGCTCAGGCTGCAGCCCTGGTGCCACAGTCACTGAGACCTTGCTGAAGCACTGAAAGGATTAATGCGACCACAGCACATTTCAGTGCTGTCACTTTGGCTCCAGAGTGCATGTGCAGCGTGGTGGATCTGTCCTGCAGAGCAGCAAACCACCCACATCACCTCTTGGGCTAATGAAATGTTGCTGACTGCCTTTTCTAATGCCTGGGAGGGAGTTTTCTGCTGGAAAGCCTCCAGCACTGTGCAGAAACTCAGCAGACACAGGATGGGCTGCGCTCAGCTGAGACCTGGCAGCCCCAGGCTGGGATGCTACATTTTGCAGCACAACACACCCTGAGGCCTCACATCAGTTTGTTTTTTTCCTTCTCCCCAATTTCCCAATCCACCTGTCTGAGCCACGAGGCACAGGAAAGCCAGGGGGCTTTTCCTGCAGGCTCTGAAGGCGTTTGGATCCCTGCGTGACCAGGGCTCAGCAGTGCAGTGTGCTCTAACAGCTCTGTGCTGATAAAAGAGACAAAGCAGCTGCTGCTTCCTCACCCAGGTCAGCGTATCTGGTCCAGAAGAAGCGGCCCAGGCCACCAGAGCTGAGCTGGAAGGAGGGCTCGTTCCTCTTCCTTAGCGAGGGGCCGTTCTTCAGCGATAAGGCGGCGTGCTCGGAATACCGGTACGTGATGAAGCCGTACTTCTCCCCCCTGAGCAACCACAGAAAGAATTCAAAATGTCATGAGCCCTTGTGATACAGCACTACACCCCTGGCCCATCATTCTTCCACTCCTCCATCCCACAGATGCCCTTGGATCTCTGCACATGCTGAGTCTCTTTGATAAAAGCACCAAGACCGAGGGCTCGGCTGACCCAGGGGATCGATGTGGCACTGCCTGCAGGTGTTGTGGGGCTTGGGGAGAGGAGCTGCCTGGAGCTGCTGGAGCCCTGGGCACAGCTCACTGCCCACCCACCTGTTAGTCCTGGACAGGACCTGACACTCCACGATTTCACCAAACACCTCGAAGCGTTTCTTCAGCTCGCTGGAGCTCATGCTGCTGGAGAGGTTTCTGATGTACACCACCCGGCCTTCCCCCTGCCAAAGCAACCAAAAGCTTTCAGGCTTGGACCCTGCACCTCTGTGCTGCTGCTGGGCTGTGGAGGAGCCCCTGCAAGCCAGCACTGGGAAGCACTGCCATGGACACAGCCTGCCACCTCCAGGATCTGGCTGTCTCCGAGGTCACAGTGTCACCCCCAGGACAGCCATAACCGGGCTGGAGCAGCCACCGCTCCCTTCTTCTCTCTTAAAATTCTCCCACATTCTTCCAGCTCTCTCAGCTTCTCCTGGCAAATGTGGGATATATTCCCAAGAATTGCCAGGGGCAAAATCCAATTGCATTGCAGGAAAAGGTGCCAAAGCAGCATGTGTGAGTGTGAGTGTGTGTGTGCAGGGAGCACCGATTTACTCTGCCGTGTGCCCACCCCTCTCCCAGCTCCCAGCGTGTGCCCACGGGTTCCCGGAGCACGAGGATGCAGCGGGGCCACATCTGTGACAGCTGAGCAGCTTCAGGGATTCCCCAGTTCACCCCACAAACTGCCAGTGCCAAGTGCACTGAGGCAGCAGCGTAGGATGCTCTGGGCATCCCTGTGCCAAGGGCTCCGTGTGCTGCCAATCGCTGGCGGCTTCGCTGCACGTTGGGTTTTCCTCTCTCCCCACCCCATGTCCTTGTTTAACACTGGCCTCGCACCAAGGGATGCTGAAGCCAGGGCTGATGGGCTCCACTGCTGCTTTCTGGAGCAGGAGATGAGCCCAGGGCTGGGGTTGCTCTGTGAGGTCCCCGCTCACTTACGATGGCCTTTTCCCGTCTCTTCTTCAGCTGGCCCCGGTGCCCGCTTCCACCCTGACACTGCTCGCCGTTCTCACACCTGCAAGGGAGGGACAGGGGGTCAGCTTGGGGCTGGGGGAGCTGCTGGGAAAGCTTCAAACATCACTGAGAACCTGAGACACCCACAGGATAGGTGGGCACTCAGGGGCACTGGGAGCCAAGGAGAGACTGGGGTCTGGAAACACTGGACAGGGCACTGGGAAGGTTTCTCTCATCAATGCCAGGGTGTCCCAAGCCAGCACCTGTCCCTTCCCAGGCCTGGCTTGGGTGCCTGCCCACGCCCTGTCACCCACGGAACCCTCCCAGCTGCTTCGCTCTGCCACTGCTTCCTCAGGCCATGGCTGATGCTTGCAGCAGTGGCTGATGTAGTACCAATTATTTTCATAATTTTTCCTTCATTAATTAGCATCTCTACTGCTTGGGCAGAGAGCACTGGGGCTGCCCTGCACCATGCTGAAAATTCAGGGGGCAAAAGCCCCAATGTCCCCGTGCCCCCCGTACCTGAAGGTGCGTCTGCTGGCGGGTGACCGCGACCGGCAGCACGAGGAGCCCGAGCTGGACCTGCTCCGGGAGCAGTAATGCAAACTGGTCCTGGAAAGGGGGTTTCTCCTCAGGCACAGCTCGGTGTTGCCATGCTCCTCCTCTTCCTCCTCCTCCTCATCCTCCTCATCCTCCTCCACAGGGGAGCCGCTCTCACTGCAGCTGTCCTCAAAGACCGTGTCATACTCGGGGGTTTTGCAGAAGACCATGTCCTCCTCGTCGAGGGCACTGTCCAGAAAACCAAAGTGCTTTGTTAAGCTGGCTCTGATCTCCTGGTCTCTCAGCTGCTTCACGCCGTCCTTCCACAGCAGCTCAGCGCCCGTGTCCTTGCCCAGCTCCAGTCCCTGGTAGTGGGCGGCCGGGACCCTCCTCTTGTGCTCCGTCTCCACCTGGCTCGGGGACATTGG